GGGGGGCGTGGGTTCAGTGAACCACACATGGAAAGAAGTGAAACGAAAGGAAGGGAGCACAAAAAAGGGGGACGTTGCAGGGAGGCCAGCAGCACAGGTAAATGACCATGTGCATGGATTGTTTTAAAAAAGAAGGGGGTTATGGGGAAATAGCATGAATAAGGCGAGCCGGAAGAGTGTGAGTGAACAGGATAGGTTGAGAAGGGAGACGGAAAGACAGTGCAGGAGGAAAAGACATAAGGGTGGGGGCAAAAATAAAAACAACAACAGAGGAAAAAGAAAAAAGGAGAATGTAGCAGAGAAGAAGGGGAAGTTGAGTCTCTCCTGTCAGTTGTTACATGCTCCACTGAGAGGAACAATGGCTAACTTCAGTAAAATGATCATGTTTAGTTACAGACTATGAGTCCTAATGAACAGTAATTACAATAACGAATACATTAGTAAATCTTATATTATTAGTACTAGTTAGTGGCATGGTGTCATTGTGGTTTGGAAACAAGTTAAGGGATTGAATGAAGAGAAATGTTGTAGAGAAATTTGCGTGGCTTTAATGTGCATTTTTTGTGTCTGTTTACGTGGTTCGTACCTGCTGCCTGTGGAGACATGAAGCCTCCGACTCCCAGGTTGATGACAGCTGTTTGCTGGTTTCCTAAACTTTGATCGGGCCCCTGGTCACTCTGAAAAAAAAAGCTAAAGTTAGCACAAGGCATCAGGGCCATTACACACAGTTTCCACAAACACAAAATCTGTGAATTACAAAGAGTAATGTATACAGTGCCTCACCACTTGTAATAAAGCAGAGTGTATTTTTAAGCTGTTTCTCAACAAAGTTACAAAATTTATAAAAAAAGTGAACTTAAGGCATGTGTGTAACAAATGTTGCACAGATTGAATACATTAAAAAAAATGGTAAGAAATAAAGACAAAATCAGATCTGAAACGGCAACACTATCAACACACAAGGTGATTTTAAAAGATGATAGTGATTTTGTTTGTCTGAAGGCCCAGTCATGAGGCTGCTGAGATGTGTTTTGGCGGTCTAACACTTTCTCCTACATCACTACTGCTAGATTCTGGGCTTTTCTCCCAATATTCCTTGCAGATTTGTTCAAACCTGCCCTTGTACGATGAAGAGTGTCTCGACAGCTGTCAGATTTTCTAATTTTCCATTGTGACTCAAGTCCGGGCTTTAACAAGCCAAGTACATTCATATTCTTTCATTAAGCCATGTGTGTCAATACACTTTGGTCATCTGGCTTTCTTTTGTACTTCTGGCTCCTTCAAGCCACTCTGCCATAAGGCCCAGATTTGTAAAATATGTAATGACTGCTCATTGACATTAGCTCATGTACAGTGGTCCTTAGCTCATGTATGACCTCTCTAATCAAGCTAGTGTGCTCACGTTTGCTAAGAGAGTCTCGTGAAATACATATTTTAGGTTTCTATATGAAACACATTTCTGTGCCTTTGTGTTAAATATGTAGTTGAATATTTTTTAGATGTATTTCTTTGGATATTTCATTGCTATGTTTCTATTCTGACATGCAAATATGCAGAACCCCATTTATATTAGCACTAACATTGAAACTATAAATATTAAACAACAGATTTCATCCAACACAGTTTGTAACATCTCACAGTTGCTTTCCCAATGACTGAATCATCAGATAAACATGGTTCTTCTGACTGTGTTTTATTTATATTGTTTGCACGTGCAAGCCAATGTGACTGCATGTCTCACCGTTTCCCCCTGCTGTTGCGGACTGGAGGTGGCTGACTGACTCTGCTGTGGGGAGAACTGGGACAGCTGCTGCTGCTGCAGAGAGTTAAAGATGAGAGGACCAGTGGGGATCTGGAGATGTGAAACACAAACACACCAACAAACAAAGAGCGGGGGAGTAAATCACAGGGAGATGAGGACGAATAAAGGGCAGGACATGGAAGGAGGAAAGGCAGGGAAAAGGACGATGCACATGTAAGCAAAACAGGAGGAAGAAGGAAATGGGAGTTAAAAAAGCAATCAATTTACCACTATCACAATATCTGAACTACAAGGGGCTCTACACGTAATTGCAGAAGGAATGATCTTCAAACAAGTCGTGTCTGTGTTCTGATTATCCCCTTTAGTGCGTCTGCCACTATTCCTCCAGCAGAGGCCTTTGCTAAGAGACTCTTAGCAGCTCAAGAGGAAGAGGGAAGGCAATATTGTTGTCACAGTGACTGGTTAAAATTCCACCCAGGGCATCACATACAAAAGATGCATGCCCTTGTGGCTCGAGAGAAGTTTCATAAAGGGAGTTTATGACACTGAATATGCAGTAATGTGCAGGAAAAGGAGGTGTGAGGAATTTTAAGCTCCTCACTCACACGTCGCTATTCCAGGTGTGGTAACACAGGTGAGGGTCACGAAGGAGTCACTATGCCAAACAAATACCCAGT